TAAAAGCAAATAAGCCTTACAATTGTAGTTGGAAATGACCTGTCCTGTTTCATACTCGTTTTTCACTTGTTGGCCCAGGATGCTGTGTGTGTAGCAATACTTTCTGCTTCACAAAGCTTTAAAATCTCTGCTCGGAGGCATCTTGTGAGTGAAAACAAAAGGTCACTCACAGTTTCAGGAAGCCCCAGAGACATTGTTATAATGACTTAATGTACAAGCATATTTAAGGGAACAGACTCCATGGATGAGGTCATAAATTAGTCAAGGTGGAATGTAAAGTAGGGCTATAGATAATGTCTGCTGGAGAGTTTAGATATCATGAAGTTTAGTTGTTATAAGTCTCCAGCCTGTTAATAGGGCCGTATTTCCTAACCAGAGCAAATTCTAGGTTTATCAAGGGTATATTAAATAGAAAGACGTGTTTTTAAATGTGGAGTTACTACAGGTCACTGAAGAAAATGCTAAACGGAAAGGTATTTCTTCAGATAGGTTGAAAATGTGCATGTTGGGAAGGACTGCTGACAGGTAATACTGCTGTGGTGGTATACATGTTCTTTTGCTCTTTCTTTTCCTCTCCCCCATCTTCCCCCTTCTCCTTTTAAAAAAGGGTAAACAAAAGAGATGGTGGTGGAGGGCAGACTTGCCATACTAGAGTTATGGGTTAATTTGACCCACTTGTTGGAGATGTGTGCAGCCATACTGGGCTTTTGTTGTTCAGTCGCACAGTCGAGTCAGACTCTTCGTGACCCCATGGACCAGATCACACCAGGCCTTCCGGTCTTCCGCCGTCCTCTGAAGTTTGCTCAACTTCATGTTCGTTGCATCTATGACACTGTCTAACCATCTCATCCTTTGCCATCCCCGTCTTCTTTGACCTTCAATCTTTCCCAGCATCAGGGTCTTCTCCAGTGAGTGCTCCCTTCTCATTTGGTGGCCAAAGTATTTGAGCTTCAGTTTCATTATCTGGCCTTCCAGGGAACAGTCAGGGTTGATTTCTTTTAGGATTGACTGATTTGTTCTTCTTGCAGTCCAAGGTACTCTCAAGAGTCTTCTCCAGCACCATAGTTCAAAAGAATCTATTCTTCGGTGCTCGGCCTTCCTTATAGACCAACTCTCGCAGCCATACATGACTACTGGGAATACCATTGCTTTGACCATGCGGACCTTTGTTGGCAGGGTGATGTCTCTACTTTTTATCATGCTGTTTAGGTTTGCCATCGCTTTCCTCCCAAGGAGCAGGCATCTTTTAATTTCATGGCTGCTGTCACTGTCTGCTGTGATCTGGGATCCCAGGAACGTGAAGTCTGTCACTACTTCCACGACTTTCCCTTCTATTATCCAAGGAGTGATGGGGCCGGATGCCATGATCTTAGTTTTTTTGATGTTGAGCTTCAAGCCCACTTTTGCACTCTCGTCTTTTATCCTGAGCAAGAGGCTTTTAAGGTCCTCTTCACTTTCTGCCATTAGAGTGGTATCGTCTGCATATCTGAGGTTATTGATCTTTTCCCCAGCAATCTTAATTCCTGCTTGTGATTCATCCAGGCCAGCATTTCGCATGATGTGCTCTGCATATATATTAAATAAGCAAGGTGACAATATACATCCTTGTCGTACTCCTTTTCCTATGCTAAACCAATCAGTTGTTCCATATCCGGTTCTAACTGTCGCTTCTTGACCCTTATACAGGTTTCTCAAGAGACATGTGAGGTGGTCTGGTACTCCCATCTCGTTAAGGACCTGCCATAGTTTGTTGTGATCCACACAGTCAAAGGCTTTAGCATAGTCAATGAAGCAGAAGTAGATGTTTTTCTGGTACTCTCTTGCTTTCTCCATAATCTAGCGAATGTTGGCAATTTGATCTCTAGTTCCTCTACCTCTTCGAAACCCAGCTTGTACTTCTGGCAGTTCTCTATCCACGTACTGTTGAAGCCTAGCTTGTAGGATCTTGAGCATGACCTTGCTAGCGTGTGATATGAATGCAATTGTGTGATAGTTTGAACATTCCTTGGGATTGCCCTTCTTTGGGATTGGAATGTGGCCAATCCTGTGGCCACTGGACTGGCATATTCTAAATACGGTGGAAGTAAGAAAGTGATGCAGAAGATTCAGGCCAGGGCTCAAAAACTATGCAACCAGTTGCAAGAGTTTGAGGGAGTTTAACTTTTCTTTTCAGGGGAGTAGCTGTGTTGGTCTGCAGTAGATCTGAGTCCAGTAGCACCTTAAAGACCAACGAGATTTTTGGGGTATGCTCTTATTTGAGTAGTGTCTCTCCATTATGCATGACACAGCTTTTGAAATTAAGGAGTATTTTTCAACGTGTTAGACAGCATGGAAATGAGATTTTAAATTGAGAGTCAAAAATTCCATTCAGCATTTCAAGGTGAGTCCGAAGTAGCTCTCTGGATTCCATATAGGAGAGAATTACAGCAATGTAGACTTCTGGCCTCTCAATCAATGTTCAGAGTGCCTGGGACAGACTGTGGCATAATTGACACAAATTCTTCAGTTCAGAAAAGTATCCTCAGATTTTCTGATAACTACATTTTGGAGGAAACAAATGATGCATGTTAAATCCATTACCAATAATTGCAGTCATGTTTTTGGTGTTTCTCTTTTCCCTATGTAACAATGCTTGGCCAGTGGCCCAAAGTTATTCTACTGAGCATTTTGTTTAATCTTAGGCAGAACAGATAAATGTATGGAATAGGAGAAGGGAGATCATAGCATAACTGTGTCTGGATGTAAGATAGGTTGAAATCTGTGGGAACATATGGACAACTTCAGATTGGGCTCCCATTTTCAGCAGAAGCCTTTAGGTTGTGTATTTCCACTCTTATATTTGCTGTGGTGGTGTCTTGCATTGCTAATTGCTACCACAAAATGCAAATAACAGCTCGTTTAAAATATTGCAGTTGCAAACATCTGAAATTACTATGTTACCCTTGTATGCTTTTCTAAGTGTTATATGTATTTTGACTTGTGTGTATTAAAAAAATTATTCAATAACAATTTTTAAAATACCCATTGTTAACATACACTTTCCCAGATAGTTGTTCTCACTTTTGTTGCATGTGATTTTCCTGTGTGGGATTTGAAAGGTGGTTTATATGCAGGGGTCATTTCCTGCAGGAGCGCACAGGAGCGGAGCTCCGGCAGTAAAGAGCCCAGGGGGTGGGCACATGCAACAAGCCCCACCCCCTGCTCCCAGCAGCCCTCAGTCAGAGCAAGAAGCAGCCAGGTAAGCTGCAGAGCACCCCCCTGGCCCCCCTGTTCCAAAACAGTCCAGTGGCACCCTTAAGACCAAGTTTTATTCAAGTATAAGCCCTGCCTCCTCTGCGAGGACAGATCTGCACGTTCCCCCCCCCCCAATAGCTAGCAATCCAAAACAGTCCAGTGGAGCCTGAGCGGTGGGTGTTGCCTTCTGACACACTTCCGGTGATGTCAGGGGGTGTGGCATATGCAAATAAGTTATGCTAATGAGCTCCTGCACCTCTTTTTCTACAAAATGGCCCCTGTTTATATGTAACAAATATCCTCATGGTCTAGATGACATTTCAGTGTTCCTTGATTTCAGTGCTAGGGAATGTTGTGTTGTCATTGGTTGAATGCCACTGCAAGTTGTCTGAACCCTCAGGCTAGGGATCATGATATGTTTTTGTTAAGACGGTTCCAGTTGTTCACTTTTCCATTGTTGTTTTTCCTTCCTCCTGCAGTGTTTCTTTATAAATATTATGGAAATACACTAGCTTATTTGCTATATTAAATAGGATTTTACATTGTTTTTAATCTTGAGATACCTGGAAACTGGATTACACATTGACGCTTGATAAAACCATGAAAGAATGAGCCATTACAGTTCTAATGCCACAGATATAACTTGAATGTTTTTCCAGTGGAGTCACGTTGCACATTCAAGCATTGACTAAACAAGTGATTCGTATGCCCGTATGAATGGTAAATGGAACCGGTAAAGTAAGTCTTTAGGAAATGAAGGTAACTGTGGAACAATTAGTTTTGGTTTACCTAGAGAGGTGGCTTTCAAATAGTGTTCTGAAAACCAGGGGAAGCTTACCAAATGACCAGGTGGTCCTATCACTGTCAGTCTTTCACTGCGGTATGTAGAGATACCAGAGTGCTGGGTGCACTCGAAAGTACATGGGGTGACAGGCCAAATGGGCTTGGGCAGTAGCTTGCCTGAACAGAAATGTGTATCCGAACAGGACATACTCCAAAAACATCTGAAGGGATACTGTGGCAGGTGCAGGCGTTGCCCAGAAAGGAAATCACTATAGAAAGTAACCTCAAAATCAGTGAGTTAGAGTAATGCTTTCCCCCCCTTCATTTACAGCTGTCTTGTTTACATGAGAGTACATAACATGTAGTCTATCTAATCTGGCAAGCAAATACATTTTGGCTTAATATATTTCAGTGTATCACATGTTGCATTTCAGTGTCCCAGGTGGGCACTGCAGAAGAACAGAGACCCTATTCTTTTACAAACTGGCAACTGTAGCCTTACTATTTGCATTGTGTTTTGGAATTTTAAAAATGCTATTCTAAAGGTAGCATAAGCAGAGTCGTGGAAAAATATGAGTATCTGCATGAAATCTGGGTGCTTAAATAATTCCTTTCATTTAAAAGATCCCTTAATATAGGAGCATGTCACTGACCTTATTGAGTAAATTAATGGAGATAATTAAGCTGTCACTGTGGGTGAAATCTGAATACATTTGCAGTTTGAAAAACATACAGGGTACAGTCAGAGCAGAATAGCAAAGCATTCAGTCTTTGGGTTTATTCCTTTGGTATTGGTGAACAGATAAGTATTGTTATCTTTCATAATAGCTTGACTGTTCAGTGTAGGCCTACTGAAGGGATTACAGTAATATAAAGCGAAACTGATCTGGAAGAGACTCAACTTGCACAATTAAAGATAGTTCCATTTATTGAAGAAGAATAGAATAGCCATGTTTAAGACATCCCTTTCATTTATTTCATAGGATTACCTCGATTGTATCACTGACCAATCCAAACTCTCCTTGGGTCCTGAGGAACGATCAGCTTTGTTTGGAAACATAAAAGATATCTATAATTTCAATAGGTAAGTAACTATACAAATTAAGTGAAAACATATATGGAAACCGAGAATTAAAGCTTTCATTACTCTTTTCTTCCAGCAAGCTGAAGTCGAAAAGGGCTTGGCACTTCAAACTAGAATAATCTGTGGTATAAACAGAGAGCGTACACAAAAAGTCTAGGAATACTTGACAGTGGCTCCCACTGATAGTTTCTTGGATGTTGTTCATTGACTCTAAACCATGCCCATGTATGGATAGGACTTGGGACAAATGAATGACAGCCCAGAACAAGACTGTGATGAGTATTTAGGGGCTTACCTGTTTCCTTTATACCTATCTGACTTCTCTGTGGTGGGAGAGGGAGAGAGACTAAACCAGACCAATGTCAATTTCACACCCGAGGCTGCGGGGCTGCATTTGACTCGGGGCTTTGCCCGATTTCCTCTGCAGTTTCATGAATCTCAAAAACCAGGATCACGAAACTGCGGAGGAAATCGGGCGAAGCCCCGAGTCAAAATGCAGCCCTGGTGCTTCAGGTGTGAAATTGACATGTTTGTGTCGAGGCAAACGGCGCTGTGCTGCGAGGCAGCTCTAGTGAGAAATCGCCCCAAGTCTGTGCTTTCACTTCTCTGGTGCCTGTTTTCTGCCATGGAGTGAAATAGCAATGGAAGATATCGGAGTGTTGTGTACTCTGAGTTTCCTACTGTTTCGAATTTTTATCCAAGAAAGTATGTTCTGATAAATCAGATTTTCCACTAAAACAAGACAGTCTTTATTGTTTTATGACATACCTAAAACAATTTAACATGTGTGTGTACACATACACATATCCTTCTGGTGTAACCTATGAGACTTATGACAAGGCAGTTCTGTATTGCAGTGCTCCATATATAGATAATATAATTAAAGAATGATGGAATACAAGGTCAAAGATCTTGAGTTGGCTTTAGTGTGGCTGGCATAGTAACATGTGTTATTTTGCACCGTTTGGTAGACAGGTAGCTTTGCCCCCTTTCCACTATGTATTCACTAGTTAACAATTGCCATTTCAGCAGGTATGTCAGAATGAGTGGTTTCTCCACTTTGATCTCTGTTTAACATCTACTGGAATATAGTGAAGAAAAGATTGTGTTAAATAACTCCAGGGGATGCATGTGAAAAACAAGATTTATATTAAAAGATAAAGTTATACATAATAATTGCCCTCTTGAGTGGTTTTGGCTCCTGGATTTTGACTGATTTCTGTGTATTGCATTTCTCTTTCTTTTAGTTCTTGGCAGCCTGAAGTCCTCCAGACTCAGTGCAAACGTGTTGAGACATTTACAGAATGAAAGGCACATTAACTACTAGCTGTTACTTGCTATTTTGTATTTCATTCACAAAATAATGGTCTGACTGGAGAAGGTTAGATCATTTCAGTTATTCTGCCTTAGTGAGCTGGTTATACTGAGACATGAACAGTGACATATTTTCCCTTCACAAGCCAATAGCAAGAATGCTAACACAAAATGCTGTTTACAATTACATCATTGTGTGCCACTGTCTGAGGACAGCATTAGTAAAAATACTTTTCAAGGGAAAGGGCCCACTGCATTGGGATTAAAAACCATTAATTTGGCTCTCTCGGACATCCTCTTAATTGAAAAGTAGAATATAAATATTTTAAATAAATAATAAAACAGCTGTGTATCTACATAGATAAGACACACACAGAAGGGAATGAGTAACTCAGTATAATGGGATGCATGTATATCCAGATGAGAAGACCCCTGGCACAACTCTGTTGACTTTTAAATTCATGCCTGTAGGTCACCCATTCCCCCTACTGGGGAAGGACCATGCTGTGTGAGCAGGATTCGCTGGAGCCAACCGCAATGTTGTAATTGCAGGAAATCTCCAGAAAGAATCTGTTTCATTGGAGTGGGAAGAATGTTTGAGCGTTAATTCACATATTAGAATTGTTGACATGTAAATTAATGTTATTTACGCAGCACACCGTGAAAAAGCTGTTAGGTGAAACGGGAGTATACGCAATTTCCATAGTGTGTATGCGTGCATCTTTATTACTTGTTGAAGAAACACTGCTCACTGCAAAACAGCAGTCTAAATATATTTTCATAATACTACATCACAGTTGTTTTCATCATTGTTCCGCCTGGTAGTTGGCAACTGTACATAAGACTGGATGCTTCAGAATAAAAATTATAGTCCTTTATTGTAAGGAACTACATACTGGATAGGGAAAAACAGAGACAGTTTAGAATGCCATCTACCTATGCTAAGATGGATAGAGATGGAAAAGAGCACATCTTGTTCCTATGGTAGTGAGACAAGAAGAAGGATGGGCAGCTGAAAGGAAGGAAGTTTCTCTTAGAAGGGCAATTTACGGTCAAAGGGACAACAGCAGAGCAGATCAAAGCAGGGGTGGCCAAACTTGCTTAACATAAGAGCCACACAGAATAAACATCAGATCTTTGAGAGCCACAAGACCTGAACAAATATTACACATTTTTAATGAAAAATAAGCAGATTTGCATTTTATTTTATTTTTATAAGCCCCCGGGGGGGATTTTTTATTTTTTTAATACTACAAAAACTACCAAGAAAAAATAGGGATAGGGGATCTACAATTAGGGAGAAAGGAAAGGCAACCCACACGAAACTAAAAACCCAAGGTTAGGATATCATTCCCTGTTAAACTACCGTTAGTAAAAAAAAAAAAGGCTGTTAATAAACAATATACTTTGTGAGGACATGTCTTTCTAAGCTTATATGTTAGTTTGTTACTTGTTATGAGAAGATTTCCCGAGCATCTCCTCCAGCTCGCTTCATAAAGGCAATTTCCAGAGTCCTTCGGCCTTTACTTCTATACTAAAACTCTCTAAAATCTTAATAGCTTCTTAGACGTTCACTCCAAATTCTGCAGCCCAGTCTTCCTCTGTCCAAAGGGATAAAACCACCAGTCTTAAGCCTCTTCCTCTCTGGTCTCGCCCTCGGGGCCCCGTGGCATCTCAAAGGTTTCTTGATTGTGAAGGGAAACTTCAGCTCTTTTTTCTCAACAGGATTTAAGATGACACTTTCTAAGAACACTTGCAAGAAAGGAGTTAAATCCTTATAAATCTTTCCTGTTTCTCTTGTGCTTTTTCTCCTTTTCTCACTGAGATCACTGTTTAATTTAGTGTCCATCTCATTCGCTTTGAAAGCCCTCAGTTCCATTTTTTCTGCTATCGTTGCCAACTGGAGCTGCCGGGACACAAATTGTTGATTTATCTTGGCAAGCTGCTGGTTAATACCAACAAGTTGCTCCAGAATCGGCTTGGTGGCTTCCACTACAAGTGCAATGACATCTACTTCCCTTCTTCTCAGAGTTTTCGCCATCTTTTTTGGAGTGCCTTCTTCCCTTTGTTTATGCAAATGCATTGAGAGGCGTCCCTCTCTCAGCACATTCCAATTGCTCAGGAAGTTTTTCCTTTGGGGGGGGGGATTTTCTCTTCTGAAGACAAATCGCTCATTTTAACTCAGAGTTCGCTCCTTAACTCACAATTCATTGTCAGTCTTTATCTTGACCACGCTCTTAATCGCTCCTCCACTAGATCTCCTGAGCTTGACCTGATCGACACAGCTTGTGGCCTCGCTAAGAGGACGTTTCCTGCTGGAGCCAACCACAATGTTGTAATTGCAGGAAATCTCCAGAAAGAATCTGTTTCATTGGAGTGGGAAGAATGTTTGAGCGTTAATTCACATATTAGAATTGTTGACATGTAAATTAATGTTATTTACGCAGCACACCGTGAAAAAGCTGTTATGTGAAACGGGAGTATACGCAATTTCCATAGTGTGTATGCGTGCATCTTTATTACTTGTTGAAGAAACACTGCTCACTGCAAAACAGCAGCCTAAATATATTAAAACGAAAGGGGTAAAAACAGATATTGATAATGGTGTTTATTTGTCCAATGATATTTGTCTGCTAATGATATTTATTTATCTAAGAGAAAGAGAGAGAGAAAGCTTTGAGAATGCATTTAGAGTTGCTTTCTTTCTCTGCTCCCCCACCCCCCACCTCAAGCCTACCCAGGGAGGGAAACACTGGCAGCCTTCCCTTCCCCAGCTGCCCTGCCGGAAGCCGCACAATACGTGTAAAAGAGCCACATGTGGCTCCCAAGCCACAGTTTGGCCACCCCTGATGTAGACAGTCCTGACCTTTCTGTCTTTCCAGCTCTGTTGCCCTCTTTCTGTCCCTTCCGACATGAGTAACTAGATACTGGATGCTAGAAGCTGAGGGGGACAGAGAGAGGGAGAGAGAGAGAGAGAGAGAGAGAGGCACACAGAAGCACAGTGATGCTTTGTACCGGAGCTGTTGTGTGTGGCACTATCAGTCTTTCTGGTAACCAGTAGCTGCAAGAGCTATTTAGTGCTATGAGTGAGTGTGTGTTTTAACGGAACACTGGTGGTTTTGGCAACAGTAGGAAGGGGTTGGGGCAAGAAGCATCAAAGGAATAGGCAGAATCTTGGTTACAGAAAATAAAAATCTTAAATGAACTTTGCCCTTCAGGAGGAACCAACTTTACTGGGGTTACTTGAAGTTAAAGTAAAATACAGCCAGCGTATGTAGGCCTCTGTAAAAAAATTACCTCTATGAATTCTAATTTTTTTTTTTTGTTTCAAAAAACTAGTGAACTTTTGCAAGACTTGGAAAACTGTGAAAATGACCCTGTGGCTATAGCAGAATGTTTTGTTTCTAAGGTAAGTAATGTTAACTTTTCCATTGATACTAATCTGCAGTATAGTGCAGTTCAGCCTCTGGTGTACAACTATTCAAGATTGCCTCCATTTGCATCAGCTAGGATTGCAAGCTGGAGATCTTGGGGTGGGGATGGATTTCAGTGGGTTTGTGGAGGGGAGGGATTTCAGTGGGTTATAACGCCACAGGGGTCCACCTTCCAAAGTGGCCATTTTCTCCAGGTGAACCTGGAGATCGGTTGTAATCCCAGGAGATCTCTAGCCATCACCTGCAGACTGGCAACCCTAGCAATAGCCCACAACTGATAAATGATGTGATTATATAAAACTTGGAAATAAAAGATACTGGCATTAAGGAATTATGCTACAGATTTTGAAAAACCTCATATAGATACCTCCCACCTCAGATCTCGCTGAATAAATGAAGAACAATGAAAGTCAAGCCCCACTTTTTTGGTATTTGGGGGCTAATTTCCGTTTTCTTCATTTAATTTTGTCCTGGTTGTCATCCACTTGATTGTCCTATATAAAAGCTGTTCAAAGGAACGGGATCTGTGCGATGGCACATCTGTGCCTCGATTCATTATAGCCATTTCTGAATTTCTTTAAAGCAATTGCTGAGATAATTAAATTTGATTGAAGGGAATGAACTGAGCTTCCTCTCCTAGAGTTAAAGCTATTTTCTTGAAAGGCCCTTGATTATTTTTGATACTGTCATTAGTGGTATTTTCTTTCTGAATTGCTATAACATGGATTGAGAGCATTTTGGCAGAACTATTTTTAAAAACATGTCTATAGTTACATGGCCAGTTTTAAAAATTAATATTAATGTGCAAAAGGAAATTGAAAAGAGAAAAACGAGGTAATGCACAGTCTTATGGAATTTGGCATAAATGAGAATTATAGTAGTCTTGGTCTAACTAACTACATATGGGCCTGTTTTCCAGTTCATAAGTTATGGATCATGTCACACTGCCTTACACTGAGTCAGACCGTTTGTCTGTTTTAACTTGGCTATGTCTGCTCTAACTGGCAGCAGTATGCCTGCTATCCAGAACCCATTTCTAACTGGAGATGATGTCAGGGCCTGAGACTATGATCTCTTACATGCAAAGCATGTGCTCTATGACTGACCTATAGTCCCTTCCTAACAGGCTCAGTGCAGATTGCTATACTTAATACTCCTTTGCCAAGTCCTCGAAAAAGGCAAATAAGAAAGAGGTGTTTTGGTTATTATCTTTATTTCCAGGCTGTCATAAGCAGCATACCCTGAGGTGGCACACCGTGGAGGGCCTTTGGCTTCTGGCAGGGCCTACTGTAGCATAGTGGCATCCCTAGCCTCACACACCACTCAGTGCCTCTGAGGAAAGGGCAAGTAGGTGGCTGTAAGCAGGGGTGGTGGGAGGAGGTCATGAGTGGACAGGGGAATGACACACAGACAGGTGGAGATGTCTGGGGGTGGGAAGGGAGGTGTGAGTGGGCGTCCTAGTGGTGGGCAGAGAGAAGGCACTTTCTGTCCAGAGCACCTCAAAACCTGGAACCAGCCCTAATTTATTGAGTACATTTTTATTACCCCCTTCTTCCAAGGAGCTCAGGGTGGCATATGTCAATCTGTGCTCCTGGATTTTATCCACACAACTCTGTGAACTGGGTTAGATTGAGAGAGAATGACTGGCACAAAGTCACCCAGAAAGCTTTATGACAG